GATCCACAGTTATCTCTTGGATTGTTTTCCTCCTGTGGTTTCTGTCTGCCTCCAGCTCAGGGGAACTTCAAGCCTGCCTTCCTCTGACCCCCACGATCTACTAGGAGGTCTCAGACATCTCTAATATCTTTTTGTCTCCAAGTTATTGTTTTCTGTAATTCAATTCACATTTTAAAATCCTAGTCATGTTCTGGAGTTTGGTGTGGCTCTGCCTCTCCCTTCCCCTGTTCTGACCCTGTCACTAGCAATATAGTATCCTCAGCATTACATTTCTTATTTTCACTTTATGTGGCAATCTGTCATGTTTTTCTTTGTTAAGGTTATTATAGTTTGTTTCTTAAATTCTTAGAATGGTGAATGGTAGTTTATTGTGTGTGTTTCTTTTTAATAGTCACAGTTTGATCTCTACATGACTTCCATTAGTGTGGCATCATGTGACCCCCATGGTTGGGCAGGAAATTAGTTTTTGTCCAGAGTAACAGAATACAACAGAATGATTTTCTTAGGTCCAAAGCCTCCTTACTGCAGAAGCACAAATTGAAATAGTGGCCCAGTGATTGACTTAACTCATTAGACAGCCTACTGACAAGAAATTATGTTTAGACTTTGGAAGAAAGGTTTTCTTTTTCAGGGCTCAGAGTAGATCCCAGTTAAAAGGGAAAGCAAGCAGGAACACTATTACTTGCCTAGGGTGTTGAGCAATGTTCTATGCCATAAATCAGAATTTATGGGATTAGTTCTTTCTCAGATTGTGTCCTCACACTGCACTCTGTGATTGTGTGTATTTAAACATACACATTTATGGAAACAATTGCTAATAAAAGTTCATTGGTGTTTGCTTTGATTTCTCTTAAAGAATAATATTGAAGAAATGAGAAAAACTTTTTTTTTGCTGCTACTTAATTTTTTTTTTTGGCAAGCTCAGCTTTTTGAGCTGTTTGTTTTTGCAGATGTATTTCATCAGTTCTTAAGAATGAAGCTAGGAATGTTGCTGGCTCTTAGGTCTGTACCACCCAGAACCTGAGAAAAATGTGGCATTTGGGAGAAGTACAGAATCTTTGCATTTTTTGTGAGTTGTTAGGTTTAAAAATTTGGGGTAGTGCATTTTTAATATTTAAGTGATATTTAAGTATGTCCAGCAAAAGTAATACTGCCTTTCAGTGTACTGCTTAATTCTACATTGACTTTTGACATTTTGGGTTGATATATTCGTTGTTTTGTAGTTAATCATTCTACGGAAAAAGGATAAAGGTTGTTCATTTTTCATTTTCCCTGGAAAATTTGAATATACTGCTCATACCAAATTAGAATTGTTTCTTATTCAGAGTCTCCTCTAGTAATTAATCTTCCAGGAAGCTGACTCTTAATAATAATCAACTGTGACTTGTGGCTCTGACTAGTCAACAAGTAGACTTTGTATAGAGCATCTCTTAAATACTTAAAATAATTGTTTTGATACATTTTCTTTGAATCACACTAGAATAGCAGGAGTCGAAACAGTGCCCTGGCCTGGTTTATTCCTTCATCTGGCGAATACTCACATTGAGCCTCCCAGTTGTAGCAAGTGTTAGCCTTGGCTTGTCTCGTTAGAAGTTGTCAGCTTAGTTTGAGACAGAAATGAAAGGAATAGCTCTAGTGTGACTGGTCCAGAAGTGGCTCCTTTTCTGAGTGTGACCCCTCCAGTGCCTGGCCATCACTTTGGAGCTTTGAAGCTGGGAAACAAATCAGAGCAAAGGCATAGAGAATCTTACTTTGAAATCAAGAAGTGAAGTTCACCACAGCAAAGCGCCATGGAACTGTGTATTTTTATTGGTGGAGAAAAACGCGTGTGTGTGTGTGTGTGTGTGTGTGTGTGTGTACCACATATGTGCAAGTATGTGAAGAGGCCAGAAGAGCTCCTCAGATCCCCTGGAGCTGGAGTTACAAGTGGTTGTGAGCTGCCCAACATGGGTACTGGGAACCAAACTGGGTCCTCTGCAAGAACATCAGCTGTTAACCATGGAGCCATCGCTCCAACCCTACTGTGCTTCTTTTAAATCCTTAACAAAATGAATGTGTGCCATGTAGCAGTGTTCCCTAAATTGAGGATTTGAGGATTAAATCACACACTCTTGAATTAAAATAAAATCCCTGGATTTCTAATGTTGACTGAAGTTATTCATTTATTTATTTATCTGAGACAGGGTCTCACTGTGTGGTGCTGGCTGGCCTAGAACTTGCTATGTAGGCCAGGCTGACCTCAAACTCAAAGAGGTCCACCTGCCTCTGCCTCTCGAGTGCCAGGATTAAAGACATGCACCACCATTCCAAGCAGACTGAAGTTATTTTTATTATAGTATTATTTATATTGCTTATATTAGTATGTATAAATAAAACATAAATCTGAACAAAATGAAACTTTAAAAATTACAAATTAAATATAAATAAGATTACAAAGCCATCACAATTCAAAAGTAATTCAGCTCAAATCAGTGTTGATTTACTAGGATGGGTACTTTCCTGAAACAGTTGATGATTGGGCAATTATAGTGGAAGATGTTGCTAAGAATCTGTGTCTCTTCTGTTTCTGCACTTGGATTTTGATTATTAACCATCAAGTGCCAGTTTAGATGATACATCGTACAAAACAATATTTCTGTGTTTGACTTTGATTGGAAGTTAGGCTAACAAGGACTTTTTTTCAACAAAATTCTGCCCGTCTTGGAATAACATGTGAAGATGTGTCATATGGCAACTCTCTAAAACATCATCATTTGAAGGTAAAGTTAGCCTAATCAACAGCTTCATTAAGTCGGTATCATTAAACAAATGCATTCCTGCTAGGGTCAAGAAGAGAAAATTTCTCTTTTGCCTACTTATAGCCATGCTTCATTCCAATAAATGCAGTGTGGTTCAGACAAAGAGGATCTCGGACTCTCCCATTTTCCCTGTTTACTTTGACCACAGGGTCTTCCAGCTTTCCATGATGTTAGTTAACATAAACTCAATTGCGCTAATGCCTCCACATTTCCCCTACGGTATATATCCGCTCATGTGGTCATCTGAAAGGTACAGACTATCTTTGAATTTTTTAGCTTATCATACAAATGAAAACAAAAACATTAAAAAAAGTTTTATAAGGCAGGTGAAGACCTTTGATTATAAATCTTAGTTTGAGATATATTGCCACAGACCAGGGCTTCTTAAACTTTCCACTTGCGACCCCTTTTCATTCAAGAAATTTTTATGCAATCCCAGGTATGTAAGTACATAAATCAAATGTTTGCTAATAATAAATCACAAACTCAATTGAAAACAATTCTTTGATATATAATTCTATTATTTATTAAAGACAAAAGTATATTTGCATACTAATGCAACGGATGCACTTGTTTTACATAAAGAATTAAGTTCTTTCATTATTGTCTAGCAGTCTGACCTAAGTGCTCTTTTAAAATTTTTTATTTATTATTTATTATTTTATGTGTATGAGTGTATTACCTGCATATATTTAAGTGTACACATGTCATGAAATGCCCAAGGAGGTCAGAAGAGGGCATCGAATTTCATGGAACTGGAGTTACAGATGGTTGTTAGCTACCATGTGGGTGCTGGGAACCAAACCTATGTCTTCTCCAAGAGCAGCCAGTGTTCCTAATCCCTGATCCATCTCTACAGTCCTCAAATTTGTACATTTTAAATTGAGAAAGTAAAATTTTGTAATTTAAGTTTTCTATTTGTGTTTAAATGTTTTAAGGGATTCGTCCTCTGTTATTGTACAGTGTAGAAAACTGTAGGAAAAAGTTCGAAGTACTTGGAGGAAAAAGTACTTCAATTTCCTTTCCATCTTTTTTTTAGACATCTCTCTAAGCCACATAGCTTTGTGGAGAGGCAAAGCTCATTAGAGTAATCTGTGATATTTTCCTGCCTCTGCCTCTTCAACATATCCTACTGGAACATGCCACCTCAACCAGCTAGCTCTGATATTTTTATGAACACACCAGTTCATGCTTTTTAGTACTTTTCCATGCTTTTTTATTTTATGGTTACTGTTAATATAAAAATTATGGCAGCCGGGCTGGAGAGATGGCTCAGCTATTTTATCTTTCTCAGCTACAATTTTCTCATTTGTAAAGGGAATAAGGAAATGAATATACCTGTATTACCTGCTTGTGTTAGTAAAAATGGAATAAATAATAAACTCATTATTATAGTGAGATCATGTAGTGAATATTGAAAGGGTTGCATAAAATACAACATAAATTACATGACATACCAATATTGTTATTGCTGCCATAATTTTTTAAACTTTGAAAAAAATTTATGTGTATGCATGTATTGCCTACATGTAGGTAAGTGCACCCATGTTGTGCAGTGCCCACGGAGGTCAGAAGAGGCTGTTGGATCCCCTGGGACTGGAGTTACGGACAGTTGTTAGCTGTCATGTCGGTGCTGGGATTCGAACCTGGGTCTTCTTCAAGAACAGCCAGTGTTCATAACCACTGAGCCATCTCTCCAGCCCAGCTGCCATAATTTCTTTGTAGCCAAAGCTGGCCTTGAACCTCCTGCTTCTCCCTTCCAAGAACTTGGATTACAGGTCGTGCCACAGTGCTCGGCTATAGTGCCCTCTTTATAATACAATTTTCAAGATTCATTTTTTCCATCCTCATTGGGTAATAGTGTAGGAAACAATCAGTGCTTGAAAATTCAAATAGAGCAAATCTGTGTGCTTTGTGATTCCAAGAATTCTGCTTACTCCTCCTCCCCCTCCCCCTCTCCATTTTTTTCTCTTCCTTTTTCTCCTTTTTCTCCTCCTCTTCCTCTTCTTTTCCCTATATTATCTTTAGCTACGTCATTTGGGACAGAATTTCAGTGGAGGCATACCATATTTGCATTAGGTCAGGGATGATGATTGTGAGCTTCATTTTAGACAAGGAATACATAAATGAAAAATGGATGGATTTAGGTTACTAGTAGTGGTGATGGTGTGGCTGTGTTGGCTTTTTTGGTTTTTTTTTTAGGCATTGATAATTTGGGCTGTTTCCATTTGAAGCTGGAGACTGTGTGCACATCTTTGAATTGCCTGAACTTTTATTATTTGGAGGAGATACAAGCATCCTCTGGAAGTTTTGCTGATTCCTCTGACTCATCGCATCTGATGAACGTGCTGTCTCGAAGCCAGGTTGATGATTGCCTTTCACATTACACGGAACGATCTTCAGCGATCACGGATCAAATTGCATACAGACTTTATTTCCCTGTGTTTTGCATTTCTATTAGCTCAGGTTCACCTGTTAACCCTGGGACTTCTGACGTCCTCAGCCGTGCACTGCTGACTAAGCGCATCACCATATTCTTTCCTGGATGGAAATGACCAAGTCAGGATCATTTTGTCGTGGCCTGTCCTGTTGGCTTTACCTTTTGCTTTCCAGCCCTTGGTATCAAGCTAAGAATGGAAACACTTTAAAAGAATAAAAAGTGTCTTTATTCCCCGCCTTACACATGGCTTATTGACTGTGGCCAAACAGCAAGGATGCAGAACAGAGAGGCTATTGTGCACCCATTAGTCATTTCTGGGGCATCAAACTCCCTCCCGTGTGGCAGTTGTGTGGTCTATAGCTGCGCAGTCCACACGCAACCAAGAAGTTAAGTGTGTTTCATTTAACAAGAGTAAATATATTCCTGTACAAAAATGTTCCAAAACATGTAAAAAATGCAAATGCCTGCAATCTCACCCCAGAAATAAGTTTATTTTAATAGAAGCTAGAGACTTATTTTTTTCCTTAGAAATGTCTTGCCTGTTTCCACCACAAAAGGTTAAAAAAAAAACCCTTTTTATTTATTACCAAGTAATACACATTTACTTTTAGAAAAATTAGGAGCTTAAGTAGACAAAGCATTCTCACTAGAATACCCTGAAGAGATGTCTGCTCTTCCTTATTTGTAACTGCCATGTAAATTATGTAAATTTACAACTAGGTATAAATGTTTTCTAAAACTGGCCTCATCTTTTACTGTGAATGTCTTTCCATGTCAGTAAGCATATACCCACTAGTGGCTGTAAGATATTTCATTATGTTGAAGTATAAAATAAATTCAGGCCAGCAAGATGGCTCAGTGGGATGACTCTTACTCTCAAGGCTGAGCCCAAGTTCAGTTCCTGGAACCTACATGCTAGAAGGGGAGAATCAACTCCTCTGAGTTGTCCTCTGACCCCCACATGTGCTCTGTGGCATGCCCGAGTACACACATGCACGCACACACACACACACACACACATTAAATAAATGTAATAAAGTAAATATACTTAATAAAGCTCATAATAATGAGGACCAAATCCTTTAAATTATCTTTTAGAGTATTTGTTGTGGGGTTTATAACATATTTCTTTGAATCCAGTTTTTAATTTTTTATGATTTCTTCCTTGGGATCATGTTTAGGAATGTTTCTTCCCTATTCAAATATTTTAAATTTTTTATTTATTTTATTTTATGTGTATGAGTGTTTTGCCTGAATGTATGTAAGTATACCATGTGTGTGCAATCCCCACAGAGGCCAGAAGAGGCATTGGATCCCCTAGAATTGGCATTGCAAACTATTGTTAGCCATAATGTAGGTTCTGGGAATCTAACCCAGGTCCTTTGCAAAAGTAGCCTGTGTTCGTAATTAGTTAATCATCTCTCTAGCCCCCAAATATTTTTTAAATTATGTATTTGTGTGGGTATGTACACATGATTACAGTACCTGTGGATGCAGAAAGAGGATATTGGAGCCTCTAGAGCTGAAGTTACAGGCAGTTGTGAACTGCCTGATATGGGTACTGGGAACTGAGCTCTGGAAGAGCAGTACACACTCTAACCGCTGAACCATCTCTCCAGCCTCCTGTACAAACATTTAAAAATTATTGAGCTGTGTTTTCTTACAATATTTGATTATTTTCTGTTTAACACTGAAAATTTTAGCCAGTAGAATTTGTTTTACATATTGAGGCAAGATTCTAACTTAATTCTTTTCTAAAATCCTTTGTTAAATAATTCATCCCTCTAACAATTAGTATGTCAGTTTGTAATAAACAATAATTCATATAAATAACTAGGTTTGCTCCTAGATTTTATTTATTTATTATTTTTAATTCTATGTGTCTTCTGGACATGTCAGAACTGTTGCACTCATGAACTCACAGCAGCTGTGGTTGCCTGCACAAGATCAAGCCAGTCAACATTCTAGCATGGAGGTAGAAGGGCCTCATGAGCCCCTGCCCCCTAAATGAGGAGCTATTGACTTAGAAGGCTTCTGGGTGGGAGGGAGAGCCAGCTTTCTTTAAGGGGGTGGCCCCTGGTAGGTTACACTCCAGTGGTTGACTCCATACACATATGTATATGGACAGCACAAATGGAGATGGGGCAGAAGGTTGTAAGAGCCAGAGGTGGTGGATGATCACAAGGAAACAGTTTTCCACACAGCTGGGCAGTTACTCATATGACTCACAGCAATGGTGACAGCATGCACAAGTCCCACATAAACTCAAGCTTATAAACTCTCAAGTACACAGAATCCTAGCATAGAAGTGGGGAAGTGGGGAAGAAACCCCATCCCTACCTGAGGAACTGTTGGCAACTGATAGCTGCTTGGAGAGGGAGAGACAGTTTTCTTCAATGGTGTGATGCTGGATAGGTTGACCAGGCTCCAGTGAATGGACCCACACCGAAGGGCATTTGGGAACACAAATTTGACCCAATAGGCATATATAATTGGGACTGGGGCATTAAGGGGGATTGCATATAGGGGAGGGGCCTAAATATGATCCAAGTATAATGTCTGAAAATCTCAAAAATTCAATAAAAATGGGAAAAATGGCATGCAGTCGGTGGGGAGTAGACCTTGGAGACATTAGAGGGAGAAGTGGGAGGCTGAATATGTTCAAAACACTGAATGAAATTCTCAAAGAATTAACAAAAAATATTTTTAAAGACAGGATTTGAACAGACCCTTAAAGATGGGTTAAATATTATACTGCAGTATTTATTACCTTGCAAATACAAAACAACATGCTGAAGACATGTTTTTTGAAGCAATACATCCTTCTAGCAAGAGTAATGTACTTATATTATGAGGTAACAGAAAAATAAGATGGAAAAGTTTGGGGAGAGGGTTCTTTGAGTAAGAGAGCTTGCTATGCAAACATGAGGACCTGAGCTAGAATCCCCAGGACCCATCAGAAAAGCCAGGCATCGTACATGCTTGTAACCCAGCACTGAGGGTGTGGGGACAATCAGATGCTGGAGTTCACTGGCTGGCTAACCAGCCTAGCTGCAACAGGCACTTCGAAGGTTCACTGAGAGACCATGTTTCAAGGGAGTAAGATGGGTCATGAAGGAGACCCAGTGTCCTCCACTGGCTTCAGTGGGCTTATACATAGGTGTGTGTACCCGCACACGCAGGCATCACACACACGAAACCAGATGGGAAAATATGAACAACGTAATGGAAGGTTTTGGATGACACCATGTAGTTTGCGTTTGAGGCTGCTAACAGCAGCAGATCCTTTGAAGGTTGTCTTTTTTCTATTTTTAAATTTATATTTGTTGTATGTGTTATGAGTGTTTTGCCTACACGTTATGTTGTAAGTGCACCACACACGTGCAGTGCTTGTGGAGGGTAGACAAGGGCATTGAATCCCCTGGAACTGGAATTACAGACAGGTGTTAGCCACCATGTGGGTGCTGGGAACCAAATCCAGGTTCTGTGCTCTTAACTGCTGACCCATCACCCCAGACCCTCTTTGGAGGTTTTCTAAAAAGAGGAATGATATAAGAAGTAGAATATAAATAATGTGTTAGAGTTTCAGAGAATAATTTTCAGATTAATTCATTATGATTAATACCCAAGACTCTTTCTACCCATTAGTGAAGTCCATGAAACTTTTGACCAAAACAGTTGTTCTTAGCACTCTCTCAATACCTAAACTAGATATTTGATATTGTTCCATTGTTCTAAATTATAGAATAATGAAGTTCTAGAAACAAAGTTTTCTTTTAAACTTAGGTTTTAATGTTACCAAGCCATTTTTTTGTTCCTGTTATCATTACAACATAGATTTTAAATATTGTCAGTATATTTTATCATATTAATTCCTGAGTGTGATCTTTCTTAATTAAAATCATTTCTCTAAGCTTGCACTGAATAGTTATAAAATAGCGATTGAACGCACATTGGTGCTGTTTTGATTAAGTGTCCTTTTGTTGTCTGGTATCTTCTCAATCTAAAGTATGTTTATTGAAAATAAAGCTTCAAAACACATATGTTAACATAATGTGTTTTATTTATTTGTTTGATTTTTTTTTTTTGAGACATGTAGCTCAGATAACCTCAAACTCTCTATGTAGCCCCAGCTCCAGGAAATTATTATCATTTTATCTCATTCTGAGATTATAGGCATGTGCCACCAAGCCCAGTTTTATTTTCTTTCTTTAAAAAATCAATCTTAGCTGGGTGTGATAGTGCACACCTTTAATCCTAGCACCAGGAGGCTAAGGCAGGCAGATCACTGTAAAATTGAAGCCAGCCTGGAAGGTATAGGTCTACATAGCGAGTTTAAAGCCAGCTAGGACTACATAGTGAGACCCTGCCTTAAAAAAAACCCCAACCCCCATGCTCCCCAAAGTAGCAACACACACACACACACACACACACACACACACACACACACATCAATCTTAGGTGTTGGTGGTGTATGCCTTTAATCTCAACACTTGGGAGGCAGAGGCAGGTAAATCTCTGTGAGTTTGTGACCAGCCTAGTTCACACAGTGAGTTCCAGCCAGCCATAGCTATACAAAGAGACCAACCCCCATGCTCCCCAAAGTAGCAACACACACACACACACACACACACACACACACACACACACATCAATCTTAGGTGTTGGTGGTGTATGCCTTTAATCTCAACACTTGGGAGGCAGAGGCAGGTAAATCTCTGTGAGTTTGTGACCAGCCTAGTTCACACAGTGAGTTCCAGCCAGCCATAGCTATACAAAGAGACCCTGTCTCTAAATAAATAAATAAATAAATAAATAAATACATACATAAGTTATCAACTTACTACATGTTTTATTTTTTAATAATTGAGGTGTATTAGGGCTTTTAATGCATTTATGAAATTTTTAAGTGATAGATATCTGTTTAACTTCAAATCTCATTAAACAAAGATTTGTTATCTTCTATTTTAATAATGGCATCAATTTTTTTCATGGCTTGACATAGCAGTTTGAATAAAGAGATAAACTGAAAAAACAAAATATGTCTAAAATTATTTGCCCTGTAATTATGAAGGAACATCTTAAGCCTATCTTGTCACGTTTCTTTAGCAATTGGAACATCAGAAAATTTCCTTTCAGAATACCAAATGTGGTACCTCAGCTTTCCAGAATCTTCTCTTTAATTATCATAGATCTTTCCTTTCAGGGACTCATTAATAGGAATTTAACTTCAAGTAAGAACACAGATGATATAAATATTTACTGTGATTATTCCCAACTAGTTACAATTTTAGTATTTGTTGTTGGCTGTTTTCAGATTACTGTTCAGCCCATCCCACTGGCCTTGGGACTTGCTTTAGTGAATGGAATGTTAATAGATGGAATGTTAGTTATAAAACCTTACATGTGCGTGCATTGTTTAGCTTGAGTTTGTAAACTGGTCATTTGTAATGAGAAGGGCTTTTGCTTGGCAGTTGATAATCCAGCACAGGTGGAGAAACCACAGTCCAACCTGCAGCTGAATCTCTGGCGGTCATCCAGTCCCAGCCTAGACTGGCCAAACTACAGTCAGTACACAGACTTGTGAACGTGAGGATGATATTTATTATTATAAGTCACTGAATTCAGGATGCTTTTTTATGTAAGATTATTGAGGCCACAGCTGACAAATACAGTTATATTTAGAAACATGAATATATTAAGACAACGCATCATTACATGACTGACCTATCAAGTCTGCTAAATTAATTGAAAAATACTAACAGATAACTGTTGAGAGGGTCTCTTGGCTAATGACAGCTGCAAATTTTTTTCAGTAAAATGCTTGAAATAGGGTATATGTTCCTTTTTCTTTTTTGGTAATAAACCTGTCCATTAGCACAAGTAATTATAAAATGAAATGGCTCCTCATAGTAAGCACTATTTGCCAGATGTTGCAAGATATGTGTTATCTCATTTTTGTTGAATGGAGAAATAGGAGCAGGAAGGGTAAGTGACTAATTCAATCTTCATAGCTAGGAAAGGCAGCATTAGGGTCTACAGCCTCTTTGACTAAAAAGGTAATTATTATGATTGTATTCTTCATGTTCAGCAAAGTGGAACTAAGAAAAAATGGAATTCACAGAATCATATACCCAACATTTGAAAGTGTGTTCCCTGCAGTCTTGCCACATGACCCAGACCTAACCAAGAATCTCAGCATTTAGAATTCTACCTGTGCTCAGAGTAGATCCTACTCCACTCTCCAGCCTGGAAAGTGTGAATCTCCCTCCCCAGTTTCCACTAATTCCCAGGCCTTGGTGTCCCTGGCAGCCACCTTGACTTGCCCTGGAGCCCACCCTTTCTGGTCTCTCCTGGTCATGCCTTCACCAAGTGTGTTATGACTTGTGCTAAGGACTCATTCCCCTTACCTCAGGGCTGCGTACTCCTCTCCCACTCAACTTTGACTGATGACTGCAGTGCCTGCCCCTTCTCAAATCCTTCCCCTATTTTCAGAGGAGCTTTCCTTTTTCTTTGAAGCCTTGGTAGCCCAGAAGCCAGCTTTGAGAGTAACATCCCCAGCTGGAGTATCATAGCATATGCCTTCCCTGTCTGGTATCTCATTAAAAGCAAAACTAGTGAGACTCTCTTGGGGAAGAGCCTAAGTTGGAATCAGTCCATTACTGTGACAGCCTCCACTTAGCTCAATTTTAATTTTTTCAACCAAATTTCATTGAATTCCTAACACTGTTCTATTCAACTAACCTTAAATGGTGAGATGTGGAAGCATCTAATAGAAGAAAGAGCTACTCTGTTCT